CCCCAAAACCCCAAAACCCCAAAACCCCAAAACCCCTTTCTTGTCCAGAAGGTTTATAATTATTTACTAAAATGGCAACTCACCGGGGCGATGCTGCCAAGTCGAACCTAGAGTTCATGAAGGTTAAGAAAATTCAGTTTGGTATCCTCAGACCAAGAGAAGTGGTAAGTTTAGTCCTCCTTAATACCATCTAGCAAGCCTTATCTGTTGTTGAGATTAAGAATGAACGGATTTATGATGACAATGGACTTCCAAACCATGGAGGAATAAATGATACAAGGATGGGTACCACAGATAAAGGAATCCTGTGAGGAACCTGTCAAGGAGGTAAGCAACCCTTTTTCTCCAGAAATTGTCGGAGTGTTTAAATTTTTATTACTGAAGTTCTGATTCTAATTGGTTAAATTTGGGTTCTATCAATTTTCCATATAGATTCCAAAGAGTGTCCAGGGCATTTCGGACATATTCAACTTGCTCAGCCTGTGTTCCATATTGGATACATTGACTTGGTTAAGAAAATCTTGAAGTGCGTCTGCTACAACTGCTATAAGCTACTTATCAGACCGACTCATGAGAAGTACAACGCACTGAAAAAGATCAAAGATCCCAAGCTCAAGCTTGCCAAAGTCTACAAAGTTTGTAAAGATATTAAAACTTGTGGAAAGCCAGATAAAGCCAAGGAGAACTTCATTGATGGATGTGGTCAGAAACAACCCAGACTCAGAAAGAGAGCACTGACTTTGAGAGCAGAATTCCCATTTGATGAAGAAGAGACAGGCGATGATAAGAAAGATCTCACTCCAGGAGACTGTTTGAAGATTCTTGGTATGATCTCAGAGTTTGATGCTAACTTTATGGGATTTGATGGATATACTTCCAAGCCAGAATGGTTGATCATCACCAAACTCCCAGTCGCTCCTCCACCAGTAAGACCTTCAGTTACTATGGGAAGTAGCATGAAGCAAGAAGATGACCTGACTCATCAGTACCTCCAAATTTTGAAGGCAAATAATCAGTTGAAGACAAATCTGAATACTGCTAATCATATTATCAGTGAAAACGCCCAGCTTTTGCAGTTCTATTGTGCTACTTTGATTGATAATGAACAAGCAGGAAACATGGTTTCTAGACATAAATCAGGAAAGGCAATCAAAGCCATCAGGTCCAGGCTTAAGGGTAAGGAAGGAAGACTCAGAGGAAACTTGATGGGTAAAAGAGTCGACTTCTCTGCTAGAACAGTTATTACTTGTGACCCCACTCTCGATCTTGATCAATTAGGAGTCCCGAGAAGTATTGCAGAGAATATCACTATTCCTGAAGTTGTTACTCATCAAAACTTTGAGCAACTCAAGAAGTTAGTAAGGAATGGACCCTCAAATTGGCCAGGAGCAAAATACATTATCGGAGATGGAGGAAAGATGGTCGACCTCTCATATGCAAGAACTACTGAAGCATTCCTTGATTTTGGATATGTTGTTGAGAGGCACTTAAGTGATGGAGATTTTGTCCTCTTCAATAGACAGCCTTCACTCCATAAGATGAGTATCATGGGTCATAGAGTGAAGGTTCTTCCATACTCAACTTTCAGGTTAAATTTATCTGTCACAGGGCCCTACAATGCAGATTTTGATGGAGATGAGATGAACATGTTTGTTCCTCAAAGTCTTGAAACAAAGGCAGAGGTCAAAGAAATAATGCATATCCCAAAGCAGATCATTTCCCCACAATCCAATAGTCCAGTCATGGGAATTGTGCAGGATACTCTTGCAGGAATAATGATGTTCACCTACAGAGATACTTTCCTCGAACTCGACATGGTAATGCAGCTTCTGATGTGGGTTGAAGATTTTGATGGGAAGATTCCAGCTCCAGCTATCCTTAAGCCTAAGCCTCTTTGGACTGGAAAGCAGATCGTTTCCTTAATTATTCCTAATATCAACCTGACTAAAGACAGAGCTAGTCCAGGAGACAAAGAAGATCCATGGAGCAACCTGAAAGATAACAGAATTATCATCAAGAAGGGAGAACTGATCTCTGGTATTATCTGTAAGAAAACTGTTGGAGATAAAGCTGGAGGTATCATCCATATTGTCACCAATGACCAAGGTCCTGAAGCTGCTAGAGACTTTCTATCAAGAGCCCAGCGACTTATCAATAACTGGCTTCTTAACTTCGGTCATACTGTAGGAGTCCAGGATACTATTGCTGAGAACAGAGTTTTAGAACAGATTGCAGTGACTCTCTCTAAAGCCAAGGAAAAAGTAAAGTTGAAGCTATTAAAGGCCCAAGATGGAAGACTTAAGTGCCAGCCAGGTAAAGACATGCTTGAGACCTTCGAGGCCAAAGTAAACAAGACTCTGAATGATGCCAGAAATGAGGCAGGTAAATTGGCCAGAAACAGTCTGGATGTGTCAAACAAAATCATTCTCATGGTGCTTGCTGGAAGTAAAGGAAATGATAATAACATCTCTCAGATTATGGCTTGTGTGGGACAGCAGAACGTAGAAGGTAAAAGAATCCCATTCGGGTTTGACAGAAGAACCCTCCCTCACTTCGGAAGAGATGACTTTGGGCCAGAGAGTAGAGGTTTCGTTGAGAACTCATACCTCAGAGGACTAACTCCTCAGGAATTCTACTTCCATGCAATGGGAGGAAGAGAGGGTCTGATCGATACTGCTGTCAAAACTTCAGAGACAGGGTACATTCAGAGAAGACTTGAGAAAGCCCTGGAAGATGTCATGGTTAAGTATGATGGAACTGTCAGAAATTCCATGGAACATATTATCCAATTCCTGTACGGTGAAGACGGTATTGCTGGTGAAAAATTAGAAGGACAGAAGCTCTACCTCCTTAAAATGGATGATAAGAAGCTTGAGAAGCAATGTCATCTAAACGCGATGAACAACCAAAATGTGAAAGATCAAATCAAAGAGTTCATGATCCCTGAGAATGCTAATGAAGTGCTAAAAAATCCTGAAGTAAGTAATCCTCTTGGCTAAAATTGACCAATTTTTAGAACGTTCAAGTTTCTCTCACCAACGAATACAAATCTATTGTTTCTGATAGAGAAAGACTCAGAAAAGAAATTCTTGGTTTTGGAGAAGATGATAGCATTTATTTGCCTATCAACATTCATAGACTCATCACCAGGGCCAAGCAGAAGTTCGACATTAAGCCTACCAATAGGTCAGACTTGCATCCATTTTATGTGATCGACCAGCTGAAGGGGCTTCTTGATACTATGAAAGTTATTACTGAGAAAGAGAGAATTTCTAAAGAGAGTAATGATAATGCAGTGATCCTACTAAAAATTGCTCTCAGATTCCACCTTTGTTCTAAAAAGATGATTCTTGATGAGAAACTCTCAAAAGAGAGTTTTGATTGGCTACTTGGAGAAATCAAGAACAAGTTCTGTACATCCCTTGCACATCCTGGAGAAATGGTTGGAAGTATTGCTGCACAGTCTATGGGAGAGCCTGCTACGCAAATGACCCTGAATACTTTCCACTCTGCTGGTATTTCTTCCAAAAATGTAACACTTGGTGTGCCAAGGCTGAAGGAAATCATCAATGTTGCTAAAAAGATCAAGACTCCTTCCCTCACTATCCACTTGAAGAGAGAGTACTCAACTGATGCGAACATTATGAGAGAAGTCCAGTCAAGTATTGAGCATACTACTTTGGAGAATGTCATGATGAGAAGTGAGATCTACTATGACCCCAATCCTGAAGAAACTATCATCGAAGAGGATGAAGACATCATCGACTTGTATAAGATCGCTCCTTCAATGGAAGAGGACATCCCTCTTCAAGATCTCTCGCCTTGGCTCCTCAGATTCAAACTTGACGAGGGAAAGATCATGGAAAGAAGACTTGATATTGAAGAAATCAGAGATAAGATTCATCACTACTATCCAAGAATGATCAACATTATGCACACTGATATTAACTCTCAGAATGTGATCATGAGAATAAGAATGAAGAAGTTTGACAGGGATTCTGAAGAAGAGTTGCAGACTTTGAAAAATCTTGAAGGGGAGTTGCTCAAATCTATGTCTCTCAAAGGGTTCCCTGAGATCACCAAAGTGTATGCTAAAACCATCGATTATCCTTACTATGATGAAGACACAGGAGCTTTCAAGAGGACCAAGAAGGAGCACTGGATGCTAGAAACTGATGGAGTTGCCCTTGCCAAGATCATGAATGAGCAGTATGTGGACTTCTCTAAGACCACCTCAAATGATATTAATGAGATCTTTACTGTTCTTGGTATTGAGGCTGTCAGAAAGAGTCTGCTGATGGAACTGAGAGCTGTACTGAATGCTTACTCCATCTATGTCAACTATAGGCATATCTCTACACTGTGAGATGTCATGACTCAGAGAGGTATGCTTACATCCATCACCAGGCACGGTATTAACAGAATTGAGACAGGTGCTTTAAGAAGGTGCTCATTTGAGGAGACTGTGGAAATTTTGCTAGAAGCCGCAGCTTATGGTGAAGTTGATTATTTAAGAGGAGTCTCTGAAAACATCATCATGGGTCAACTTGCACCAATGGGAACCGGATGTTTTGATCTGATGCTTGATAAAGAAATATTGAAAAGTGAAGCAATTATTCAAGCTAAGGATATTAAGGTTGATGTGAATTCAGATTTCTTCACAGCTGGAGAAATTGATGATGAGCCTATGAATACTCCACACCCTGTATACACTCCAAGCCAAACTGATATGATGACTGGAAACACATCAGAGTATAATCCAAACCTATCTGTTTGGGGAGGAGATGCTCAGTTTACCCCTGTTCAGGGAGAAGATAATTATGCAATCCATTCTAATCCTTCAAGTCCAGGAAATTACATCCAGACTCCAAACTACGAAGCGAGAAGTCCAGGATACGAAGTAAGGAGCCCTATCTATAATGGAGGCCAAGGAGATGCCAGAGGAGGAATGACTAATAATTACGCTAGCATTGCTAGTCCAAATTATAGCTCGATGAGTCCTTCTATGAACCCTGCTGCATTATCTCCTAACTATTCCCCTACTGCCAACAGATATACCCATGCAAGCCCTCAGTACAGTCCAACTGCTCAAAATTATTCTGCCTCTCCAGGATATTCCCCGACTACTCCTAGTTACGGGATGAATAGCAATGGTGGAAACACTTATTCTTCGAATTACCAGAGTCCTTTGACACCTAAGTATAATGGACCGCCTCCAGCTGCAGCTGCAAGTCCTCTATACAATCCGATGACTCCACACTACCAGGATCCTTCGAACCAGGTGAAGAAGGAGGTCAAGGAAGAGAATAAGGATGACTATTAAAGAAATCATGATTATTACTTAAAATAGATTATACTACTTCAATTTTCTATAGGTTTCGTGGGGTTTTGGGGTTTTGGGGTTTTGGGGTTTTGGGG